GTACAAGTGGTCACCGCATACTTTCCCATACTGTTTGACGTGGACTTACCACGTATGAGATTCTCGGTGTTCAGACTGTTCAAGGTAAATATTGGGGTGTATTAGGGGGTGAGGTAATGGAGGGTATGTGATGTACTTATGGTGATTTTGTTGGTTTCCAGGAATGGATAGAATTTTTCTCAAACCTATATCAAGTGAATCTAATAACTGCCGGAATCTCATTGGCGTGCATACTATTCATCATACTTGTTCAACAGGTGCTTCAGCCATACCTGCGCCGCAAGTTTAAGATTAAGATACCCGTCCCCTCCGATATCGCTATAGTAAGTGTTGTTTTTTGTTGTTGTTGCCTAATATTTAGCTTCTTGGTTAATTATTTGTTACGAGTTTTTAAATTTTAAAAAATTTAATGTTTTTGATATTATTACACATTTGTATATGAAAATTAATTACATGTTGTTTGTTTTGTATAAATAACTTGTAATTAGTTTTTAATAATTGATATTTTTCCCAATTGTTTTATTTATAAATTGTTTGTATCTTAAGATTTCTTAGAATTGAATTAATTTTTTAAATATAAATATTATTTTTATAATTACAAAACTGTTGATAAAACAGATACTTGTGTTATTACATGTAATAATTATATTATTAATCCATAGGTAGTTATCATAACATTAATCTCATGGCTATTAAGTCTTAACGATAAACATATGGTGGCTATTGTTGGAGACGTACCAAACGGGTAGGCAATCAGTTGCACTAAAATTTACCGAAATATATGATTTACATAGGTCTTTAATTACATAAATCATACATGATAGACTACCATCACCAAAGTTACCTACAGTTAAACTGTTCTCGTTGTTAATATGGGATTCAATAATGATATCTATTGTCTCATACGTGGTATCGGCGTCTATGGCCAAGACGTTTGCCAACAAGAATCGCTACAAAATCAACCCGAATCAGGAACTGTTGGCAATGTCTGTGGCCAACGTGTTTGGCTCGTTCTTCAGCT